AGCATTTTTTCATATGTTTGTTGGCCTCAGTATGTTTTTTAAGGATTAAATAGGACAATCCCTATTAAAGTAAATGTTGTGTACCTAGAGCGTTGAAGGCACTTACAACATGAGGACCCTCCTCCCCAACCCCACCATAACTTTCAGAAAACAGCAAGTCAGTACCTCCCATGTGTAAAGCACCACATTTGGCACTGTGGCAGTGTAATGCTAAATAAGATCCTGGTTTTCCAGATGCAGATTATGACAACATTATAAATGGAATTAGTTAAGAATGTGCTTCATGACATCATAACTAGGACATACAGCAGCATTTAGTGACTTAACTACACCCAGGAGAACTACTGGATTTGATGGGAGTTGAGAGCCATGGAGATGATGTTAGGAGGGAAGCTAGTCAAGTAGTCAAACACTGCACTTCATAAAACTCCAAATTACAGCTTCACTTTCCCCACTGTGAATGTGCTGTCTGATATGATAACCACCAGCCACATGTGGCTATTTAAATTTCAGTTGGTAAATGAAGTAAATGCTTAAAAGTTTAAATGTTCAACAACCACATGTGACTAATGGCTACCATATTGGTTAGTACAGATATAGGACATTTTTGTCAATGTAGAAACATATTAAAAAACGATTCAGAAGCTAAGGTTCAAGTTTAGGGTAAAGACAGGAAGAAGTAAATTATTTGCCAGTCTATTTCTGAAATCTTGTACCCATAATGGAAATAATGCAATGTTGGCAAGAAAATCTGAGAGAAGGAAATCATAGATATTCGGTATGTTTTTACTTACATTGATGACCTTTTCTGAACACTTACCAATATACTTGCACCCCCACACACATAGCCAATGGGGTGTGCATTGTGTTTTATGAACATCATGTAGCAGAAAAGACTGTAAGATAGATTTTAAGTCTGATGAGAATGGGAGGACACTTTTGGAATGCATAACTGTTCTCTTATAGGTCAATCAACCAATCTGTCAGTATTTTCGAAACTATAAGTATGTATGTTGGGTTAATCTTGCTGAGAAATGCAAACAGTAGAGTCTTGATATTAGAAATTTTGCTATTCATTCTATTGACTACTTACACACAATCTCAATGGCTTATTGGTAGTAACTTCTTATTTTGCTAACACAAAATATTGAATCCTACACCATGGACACTGTTGTAAAATAGCATGGCTCTTGTTAGGGAGTGAGTGAGCCTAAATTTCTATCTAATTTTGGTTTAGCTTGACTGTTTTCTATTTATCATTCATATTCAGTAACTTTCAGAAAAGGTTTGAAGGTATTTACTTTTTCAGTTATGCTTTCTTGAATTTCTGGAAGGCATTTTATGCATAGTTATGCCATTAACTTAGTAAATTTTGAAGACCCTGGGAATATGTCCCTTGGGCATGTAAAAATTCTAATACAGAATATTTGGTCCTGTTCTCAAGTTGACTGTGATCTAGTTTGAGGAGGCAGTCTAATCATTCATTCATTCATTCATCAATTAGTGTTTGAGGACATAATATTATCTGAAAAAGCTTTCATGAGTAAGCAAAGATAATATATAATTTAAATGTTTTTCTTTGGAGAATTGAGCAGTTAGTGGAAAACTGATACAGAAAACATATCAGGTAAGCTATGTGTGAATGTTCTCTTTTAAATTCCCTATGAGCAGAGATCCTTATTTCTAGTTATATGTGATGGATTTTATAGGGCTAATAAGTGTGACTTTTTAAAAAATCCTCAAATGAAGTGTTTTATCTGGATGAAAATTGGAAGCTTCTATTCACACTGTTTACTATTTCCCAGGCTTCAGCTGGCATGGGAACACTCAGTTTAACAGCTGTACAGCAGAAGCAAATGCCCCATAAATTACCAAAATGCCAAGTAGTTAGATCAGCATTATTGCTAAATTCTTTTACACTGGGAGTTCCCAAGTTTTGAAGTATCAGTAGCCAGCTTTCATTTTATTTGACTTAAAATAACTTTCCTGTCTTCTAATATGATTGTATTGAATCTTAAGTAAATACTTAGATTCTGGCATATAATAGATACATGATTTTGTAAAGACCAAAAGCTTTGTAGGGAAAAAAATTACATTTTCATTTACTTCCTCAGTGGTTGTTCTTGTAAATTCTTAAAGAGTGGGCTGAATGATATTTGAGGGCTTGTCCCTTGTTGGTATCTTTCAAAAATGTACCCGTTGGTGGATCAAGTATCAAATCAATCTCTTGCTTCTTCAGTGCAAAATGGATATTTTGTTCCTTTTTGCTATGAGGATCATGTATCTCATGTCACTTAGCAAGCCTGTAGTTACATGAAGTATTTTATACTTCCTAGATTATAGTTTCTACAAGCGAACTCATATATTAGTTTGAAGTGGTTTCACATGTAGTTTCTTCTGCCCACCAGGGATACAGATGGTATATCTTGAAGTGGCTCATTGTTTGGATCTAATTATGTTCATTTCCTAAACATAGTTTTTGCCTTATTCATATCATAAAAAAGCTTTACTATAATCTCTTGGAGATTTTATTCAGCAGATTTTTTAAATAAATAAAATGTTTTGACTGACATAACTTGCCTACTTTGATTTTTAAAATTTGGTAGTATTGATAAAATATAAAAGTCACTAAAAATCTTATTACTTATTTTAGAATTATATAAAATAAGTAAATGATCCTTTAATTATATAAAATAAGTAAATGCCCTTCCTCAAAGGCAATTACTATCAATTTAATGCATTTAATGCATTTTCTTCTTGAATTATTTCTAATTTTACATTCTATAAATATGTAAATATTTATATATGTATTACAACATATTTACATATTTAAAGCAATTTAGCTTTATATATGGTCATCTATATTGCCTGTGTATACACGCACACTAATGTGTATGCATGTACATACGTCATAAAATGATATGTCGTACTACAAGTATTTGTTGGGAAATTTATTTCTGCTTAACACTATATTCTGTGTACATCTGTTGTATTTTTATAATTGTATAGTATTTCATTGTATTTATATATTATATGTTATTCCACCAACTCTCTTGATGTATTTCTATTTTTTTCCTATTTGATTAGTGTTGCAACAAACATATTTGTACATATATTTTAATCATGAATGCTATTTTATGTGTAGAATATATTCTTAGATTTCCTTAGAGTTGTTAGATTTAAGGAATTTACATTTAAATTGAATACATACTAAATAATGTTCATGAATACTTTATAAGGGAGACATTATACTACACTATTTCTGATTGTTTTTAAAGCTAATCTAGGAAACTATTCTTTTGGAAACCATTACTTGATATTTGGACCAAATCATTTAAGGAAATATTTGTATATAGGTAACCCTATATATGATTTATATATCTATAGTGCCTGAAGTATATATCTATGTAAATATCTGTGTATTTATGCAGAAACTTTGATTGTATCTATTCTTAATCAAATTCAAGTTACAACAAAGAGATGGATCTTTGAGATTAGACAGACACAGATTTTCAGTGGTGCAGTTACTTAATGTTATAAGTTATTATGTATAACCACAAAATCCCTGGAACTCTAGTAAGAAATCTAGTAAGTTGCATGTTGGCAGGACTTCACCAGTCCACCTACGTCACTATTTTATTTTTTTATAACCATCCTTGTAAATGAGCTCAATAATCAGCAACATTTTGGTTTTATTTAGGGGTTCACAGTGAATGTAAGAAACATTTTATAAATGTAAATCACAAAGTACTTCTCCTTTAACTTTTTTTGCTTGTTGAGGCAAAGTCCTTTGTGGTCCAGATCACCTGAAGGCATGGCTCAGTTGTTCACATCACAAAGAGTTACCTTCTTTAGCTTCATGAAATGTCATGGAAATAAGTTATGTTCTATAAAAGAACAAAGATAGCACTTGGTATGGTGCCAAGAGAGATTTCCTGCTTAAAATTTTATGAGTTGTTTAACAGAAAAGTCTGTCCAGGTTCACATCCACCCTTATCTTAAGCACTTTCTTATGAGAAATGATGCAGAATATAAACAATGTATTTTGAGGTCAGATAGCAGAGTTCATACCAGAATTATGTTTGTATTATATGCTGTGGCTATACCCTGTGGTTTAAAAGAAAATAGTCTGGAAGAAAGTCTGTAGAACATTATTTTTTGGATAGAAGGTCTGACTCTGTCACCTAGGTTGCAGTGCGGTGGCATGATGAAGGTTCACTGCAGCCTCAACTTCCCGGGCTCAGGAAATTCTCCTGCCTCAGCTCCCTGAGTACCTGGGACCATAAGTGTACAAAATGCCTGGCTAATTTTTATTTTTATTTGTAGAGACAGTATATAGCTATGTTGCCCAGGTTAGTTGCGAACTCCTGGACTCCAAACCTCCTGCCTTGGCCTCCCAAATTGCTGGGATTATAGGCGTGAGCCACCACACGCAGCAAATGTTATTGCTACATAATTTTTAATATTTCCCTTTCTTGGTATTGATGATTGAGACTTGTAATGTTAAATAATTCTGCTGCTCTCTTTTGACTTTATAATTCTTGTATAATTTTTGCAGTATATGTTTATACCTGTAAGAATGCAAATGTATATGTTATATGTACATAATATTCATATATTTGTGTTTCTCCCATTCCTCTTTCACAAATAAGAAATACATTTATAAGTACTTTGTGAAAAATACTGAAAGAATGCTTAGATGAAAGAGAAGGACAGAAAAATTATAGAAGAGAAGAGAAGCAGCAGCCTGGGTCAAGAAAGGTACTTAACTATCTTCACTCCTAGATAGTAAAAAGCAAAGAAGATGTGCTTGCAGGAACAAATTTTCAGTCTCTTACTGCCAGGTTTGCATAGCATTATATTTCCTTTTTATGGTTCTTCACAAACCTACTTATTGGCATGAGGTCATTCCAAAGCATTTTGTTGGAAACATGTTTTAAAATTATCATTGTACTAAATTTTGACAGATTTCCCCTAGAATGAATTTCTTTGTTTTTCAGACTCTGCCATTGAAGAAGATCCCATGCAAAGCCAGTGCACCCTCGGGCTCCTTTTTTGCCCGAGATAATACAGCAAATTTCTTATCCTGGTGCCGAGATTTAGGGGTGGATGAAACATGTCTGTTTGAATCCGAAGGTTTGGGTATGTATTTCCTTCAAAATTTTAGTTGATAAGATACTCAAATTATCTTTTGTCTTTGTCAGTATTGCCATCAAAAAGTTTTCTGTATGATATCATTTTGCAGATTATTATTTATAAATCTGTCTGAGTTCATAAAAAGTCTAAGTTTGTTGTAAACTTGCGGGTCTGCTCTAACTTGATACTTTGAAAACAGAAAAATGAATATGCTCTCTTACTGTGGGTTACCTCTGGATGCAGGAATAGAAACAGAAGTAGCACAATTCTTTCCTAGCTAAATATAAGGGCCATTAGCGTAAAATTCGTGCAAAATCATGGATGTTTGGAAAACACAGGACCAAATTTTATCCCCAGGCTTTGATCTGGATTAAAGTATAGCAAGGCATGTGCTAGCCATAGAGAGTACTCTTCTCTTTTCACCTCTACAACGGTATGGAAAAATTAGTTTATTTATTTATTTTTTTAGTGAGTTAAAAATCAGTCAAGATAACAAGAGATTGAGGTCATTAAAGATGTTGAATTGAAAGATAGATACTTTAGTGCCTATGCCTACCCAGGTAACTGTGTAGATTTTTGATGCTTTCTGATTGAATTTTGGCGGATTCACTTCCAAGTCATAGAATGAGCTTATTTCTTTTGAAGCAAACATACATTGGAGTATTCAGTGTTTCAAGACTCCTCCATACACTAGAATACAATGCTCAAACTTGCCATGTAGGCTCCACCACAGTACAACTCTAATATTAAATATTAGAACTAATGGCTCATTTTTGCAAAATGCAACCAAGTTGATAAAGGAGACATCTAGAGAAAAAAAAATCTTTGCTTTCTTTTGGCCTGTGGCCTTAAAAATCAATTTAACAGGTCATATAATACAAAATATTAATATCAAAGTAAGCTGAGCACCCTTCAGAGAGAACAAGTATACAAATTACCTTCCAAACAGCCAAATACCTATTGCCCCTAGGCCTCAAAAAACAATGCAGAACCTAGGAAATGTATGGTAACAGCTGAAATCTTACTCATTTTATATGCTTAAGGAAATCTGTATTTGTTCTCAGTGGAGTTGGTGTGATATGGCAAAGAAATATCACCAAATTTCTGAAAATTCTCTTAGCAAAGATGAGACAGCATAAATTTAGCCAAGGGCAATATTCTAGAACTGAATTTAAAAAAAAAAAAACATAGTAATCGCACAGTAGTCTGCTGAATACAATGGTGTGCTCATGCAATGATCAGTAAATAAATCAGCTTTTGATTGTTATTCCATTTCCTCATATCAAAATAAAAAAATTTGTGGAAGATGCTTGTGTACATAGATAATATATGTTTTTCAGTCCTGTGGTTAATTTACAAATCAATTTTAACTATCAGGTTTATGGGAAACCATGTGAGTGGAGGATTATAGGAAGGGGCTGTGGAAGAATTATTTGCACAGTCAAATAAAATCACTTACAAGATCTGGTAAATGTTAAGATCTTTTAAAAATATATAGCCATAAAATCAAATCTTAGTAACAAGGAGTACACTCTGCACATGTGGACAGTTAACATTATGATTTAAAATTCTAGCATGCCTCTGAATTGCTGAAGAATCATATGGGGAAACTATGATTAATTTGTTCATTGTACAGTTTTTCATTAAAGAAGCCTTTTTTTTTCAGTGATTACTATAGACTAAGAGGGTTAATAAAAGCTATGAATGTACATATGATCTTGTCTCATTTTCTCATTGTCCATGATTTCTTTTGTTATTTAAACTAATAAAATTTTCCTGTGGACACCAAGAAGAGTCCATCTAATATTATATCCTCTCTGCTAGAAATAGCACCATAGGTGAAGGTTCTAATATGTATTTACTTTAATGGCTTTTAAAAGCCCCATTCAAATAATAAGAAATTTTACCTAAAATTATAAAGCTTACAGAAGCTTATATAATGACCCTCGTATAAAAATGCTTACTCTGTAGCAAATAAAATTATGTCAAGAAGAACATTTAGACAGCCTACTTCTACACCCGGTTTGAAAAAAATACATATTTTGACATTATAAAAAGTCCATGATAATTTATATAATATATATAATTGTACAAAAATTTTGTACAAATTTTAAAGGCTATAAAAATTAAACAATTATTTGTCAACTTCTCAGTGCCAAGTTAAATTAGTTAGGTTTTCTAGTTGCTGCTCAATGAAGAGATAAATTTGCAATTTCTCCTGCTCTGAATAGAACCTAAATGATGTACAATAGGCTCTGGGGATGTAATAGAAGGGGGCCAGTATTATGGCATTGACTTTAGGATTAAAGAAAGGAAACAGCTGTGCTCGTAGATGGTCACGATAATCAAGAGGAAGGACAATAAGAAGTTCTGTTTCCACAAGTGGAACCCTTTCTCCTTGTTTTTATTTTTTTTTAATTATTATTATTATTCATTGAGGGTAAGGAAGAGATTGAGCTGTTGCTGATGGCTGTGGACTCTACTTGGCGGAATTGACTTCCTTGCAACAATAACACTGTGTCCTCTGCTTGATGTCTTTTCACACTTCACTTTTGAAAGGAAATTTAGGGCAAGGCTTTTTTTTCTTTTTCTTTTTACCTCAAGATTTCATTTCAGTAGCGCAAAAGATGAAGCACATCCTTTGTGTCCTAGTGTTTTGAACAGCAAATAAAATGAAAAGATGCTCTGATGAATGAAAAAAAAAATGTGTTTGAATGAATGATAAAGTAGATCACTGTACTCTGTGTATGAAGAGGCTTCTGTGTTTAGCTGTTCAAAGGTCTTTGCCTGCATAAAGCATCCTTATCTTTGTGGCAACTGATATGCTACCCTCTGTTGCAGTGCTTTTTTGTACAATTATTTGTCAGAGGATCTTGATTCACAACTCACTGTTCTCTTTTCACAACAGCTAATGACAAGAAACCTCAGTGGGCGAGGGAAGGTGTGCTAGCCATGAACTGGGAATAATGGAGTGCAACTAATTCCATATGTTTATGACATGCTTCTTGTCTTTTTGATCCTCGGCAGATAACTCCCTATGTCACATACAGGGTTTAAACTGCAATTTATATTCTGTGACATTTGTTAGAGATAATTTTTTGTCTGTAAAATGTCAGTTCTTGGATCATATGTTTGCTACATCCTGAACTATTTCAAAAGTAAACCCATAGAAAAGTGGACAAAGGTCATAAAGAACCTATCTATAAAAGATTTATAAAATCTGATTAAGGTATTAAAATATTGGACTCTTTAGTAATAAGGTAAATGTGAATGAAAACTATGAAAAAATAGCTAAATTAAGAAAATTATATAGTTTGTATTGGTAAGTATATAGGATATCAGAATCTTCCATACAATGCTGAAGAAATTTAGAAATTGGCATGCTTTCTTTGGAAGGCAATTTGACATTATATATCAAAGACCTCAGAAGTATTCAAACAGTTTGATGAAGTTGTTTTGCTTCCAAAAATATATTAAAAACAATTAGTGTAGGCAAGAGAATGTCTATCGAAATATTTTTTAAAGTAGCTGTAACCTACGATATTTGGTAGCAGCTTAACAAATTGTAGTCATCCATAGATACCATGCAAACTGTTTAAGGATATGGGAAAATATGTTATACTATTAACCTGAGGTCACCCATTTATATCTATTGTTTAACAACAAAATTTCATACTCAGAATTTGAAGGAAAAATGAATCGTAATTAGGTTGTAAATGACATCATTTTTTTCAATTATCTATTAATTAACAAACTTAAGATAGTGAACAATTATGTCATGTAGTCTGAAACATGAACAACTGATTTATATTACAATGCAACTGGACCAATTAGCATAGAGATTTATTGACATAAAATTTTATGTATCAACATACTAAAAGAATATTTCACATTATTGAGGTTAAACTTATACTTTAAGTGATTACAGAATTGTATATGGTGTATTAGCAAAGGTTTTTGCATGGTCTGTGGAGCATGTTGTAACCATAAGGGTCTACATATAATGCTTACTCTGACCCCTGCTGTACAAACCATGTTGACATATAAGTAACAATAGAAAAATTTCTTTTCATTACTTTAATATGTTAAGATTAATATCAGTTTCATTAGATTCCTTTAAAATATTTATGATTGTGCTTTAAGTTAAAAAGATAAACATAATTATTATCTAGAATTCAAAAGTATGTAGTTGATAGGTCTATAAACAAAATGGTCCCCAATAGTTATTTTATAAGAAATTAATTATGGAGTTAAAATATATTTTCAGTTTCATGGAAATGTAAAAGCTATTAGACAGCATTAATCAATAATCTTCCAAACAGTAAATTTAGTAATTTTTAAAATGTTCATTTAAATAAATAATTTAACTACATTTTCTAAAATGATGTTGAGTGTTTTTATGTAGCTCATTTTTACAATTTAAATTAAGATCAGAAATCTATATTTTCAAGCTTAGAGTTTTCAATTATGAATTATGAAATTGATGCTTTTATGTAATTTTTTATTAAGGTATTTTAAGTAACTATTTTCTCAAATTACTGCTAGTCTTTCTGTGCAGTTTATTATTTGTAATTTACATTGGCCTATCAATTTAGAAATTGTCAAGTTAACTTTTTCTCTAGAAATTTATTTATTTTGTTTTATTTATACACATTCGGTGAGCTGGGAGATGGAGAAAAAAGGGCTGGGGATGTTCTTTTAAAATACACACATTTTTTGCTTGCTATAATTGTGTCAATATCATTATGTTATTGGATAATTATAGGATTTGGAGGCCAGTGACTATGCTTCATCTATTTCTCTGAGAAAGAATCTACTCAGCAAGAAAAGGGTTTGCTATCTGTGGTGTAGCATGCAAATGTGTGTGATTTGTTTGAAGTATAACTTTTAAAAAGTTTTATTTTCTGTGTTTGTGATTGCTGTGTGGTACTGTCTTCTTTTGATGCATCATTCTGATGAGGAATTTTATAAATTTTTTTGTTCTGTTAAACATTGGTCAGCATTTT